TAATTCATCTGGCATCATGCATTTAGTTTAAGTATGTGACTTTCAGTCGAGTATGGGGCTGATACCAGTTTAGGTAAGCAAATTATCTTTCTGAAACTGGTCATTTGAGTAATGGAACCATGATTTATTTTCCGTGGTTGCACGACTTTTAATACATTTTGTTTTAACCAAACCAAGACCTCAGTAACTTTTGAATTTTATCATCTGTGGCAAGAACTTTCATAGTGAAGTACTTTATGGCCTTGTGGCACAGAGTTTTCAGCATACACTATTCAGATATAATAAACTTTCCTCAGGGCTCCTCAGAAGATCTGCAACCCTGAAATGTTTCCAAGGATTTTCTTCTCATGTTTTCAGACAGTTTAATATGTATTGAGGCACAGCCAAGCTGCAATTTTTATATTCTTTTATTCATATTTTTAATATTTTTTATATATACTATTAGTAGATTTACTTTTGGTTCCATCTAACTAACTTTTTCTCTTTTGCAAGTTAAAAGATGCATTTTTGTTCTTTTTTATTATTGGTTGGAGAACTCTATAATCATTTTGAACTTTCAAAGCATCCTTTGATTCCTTTCTGTGCATTGTTCTGATTCCATTAATGTTCTCTCTGTTATAAGATTGAACTTTTAGATCCTGAATCCTTGCATTTTCTACTACACTAACAGTTTTGATGACTTTCAAGATGCCTGCATTTTCTAAATTGTTGTATTATTATATGATTTTATGCCAGTGTCTTTGAGATAATAATTGGGTTTTACATGATTGTATTTCTATGATTTCTGCAACCATGAAGGATACTTCTTTATATGTTTGCCTCATTTTATGTGGAAGATATGTTGGGTTCAATTTTGCTTTCATTGGAACAAGCTGGGTGGTGATGATCTACCTTTTATCTTTGCTTCCAATTGTAATTTGAAAACATTTTATTTTTTGGCCATCTGTTACTAGTGGTTGTTTATTGCAGCTCCCACCTTCCAGTGTGCCAGTCATCGTGCGAGAATACCGCAGGGAGAACTTATGGATTTAGAGGCCTCCTCATTCCAATTGCCAATGCAGGTTGGAAACTGCTTAGTTTGGAGTATGCTGTTTTTTTGGTGTTCGTTTCTTCTCAACAGTTTATACTTGTGGGAAAATATTAGTCAAAGTCGGCTTGACTGGGCTGATATTTTTAGTTTCCAAGGTTTTGCTCATTCAGTTACGTGACTTGTTTCTCCTTTTCATTTTATTTGCTGGTCATTGATATCATGCTAATATGAATCTGTGAAGAGTACAATCTCTCTCCTCTCCAAATACAGTAGAGGTTTTTTCGCTTTTTTTTTGGGGGATTTTTGAGTCTTTGGAAATGTTGGAGCTGAGAGGGATACATACACACAAGGTATATTACTGAAAATTATACTGGTTTTGACTGGAATTATTTGAAGTAAGACTGGTCATGAAACAAGTTAGAAAGACTCATTTCTATGATATTTGTTGTTCACTATTGACCATGGCTATTTCTGTGCTGTGATGTTTGATTTTAGTGGTAATAATTGTACATTGGAAAGAATATTATATATGGCTTACATGGTTCAGTCCATATGGCTAGGCTCATTCAAGAAAAGGGTAATTGGTTACTTTGGTCATTACATAGTTCACTGACATTTGCCATGCTGATGCTCAAAATTTATACTGGCCACACCATTTGCTGTAATGAACTTACTGTTATATTGTTAGGAATCTTCTTACTAGCATGAATTAGCTAAGTTATGCAATTGCAACAACAAAATGTAACAGCTCAACTATGTGAGGTTGGCTACATAAATTTTGTCCCATCATTGAGCTTTGTTGAGGGCAATATCAGTAAAAATAAGAACCAACAAATCACATTATGAATCCTAATTGACTTATCTCACTTAAACAGTGGATCTATAATTCTCTCTTAAATATGTGATCATACCGTCTTAAATATTTTAAGTTTTATCATAATCAAAAGCTATTCCTACTTATTCACATATGCAAATATCTTAAATATTTTAAGTCACATGGACAGTACCCAATTTTGTACTTGTAAATTAAATGATTTTCAAACTCTGAGGATAACCACGATCAAAGTTGGAGCATTGTATCCTGCCTTTTGACATATTGTTTGTTTGACAAGGAGCCCATTTATGGCTCTTATAGGTTATTTCTTTTATGTTGTACCTAGAGGCAGTGAGACTAACTACCTCTTGGACAGATGTATGAAGTGAAATTATGAATTAGACTGTGCACCCTTGTTCGGTTGAGATCGTTTCTTGAGTGGATTGGCTAGGTTGAGTGGATTGTGACTGCATTGAGGAGGGGCCAACTTTTGGAAGCAGAAAGTATATAGGTTATGGTATGCTGATGTAAATAGTTATCCGGATAGGAAACCAATTTAAGAAATGATACATGCCGGAAGATGACAGCTAAAAACTGTTTGAAACAAGAAATGAGAAATTAATACAAGTAGATAACCATCTATGCATTTTTAAATGTGATAAAAATGTTGGATGACGTTATTCTCATGTGTTGATTCATCTCTCCCCTGTAAATCAATAATCACAGAATTATATATGTGAAAGAGGAAGGTACACATTTGCAACATGTTAGCTATTGGATTTCCGGATACTATTGGAATCTGGATTGAACAAGTGTCAAGTTTCCTACAAGTCTTGGAAAATGAATTGAATGGTTACTAAATTGGGTTCCTGGAGAAATGGCAAGTTTTGGGAGAACAGGCTCTTTGTGACTTGGCTTATCTGGAGGCTAGTGTATATTCTAAATGTCTGGACAACAAGGACTAAAATCTGAAAGGATCATAGTGGCTATGGTTAACAAAGTATTACAGTTCTGTGAACTTACCTCATCAAAATGCCTAATCTCAGGCAGGAAAGTTCTCTATTAGGTTAGTAGTTATGGTTCACAGCTAACTGTGTAGATTGGCACTTGTCTTTCTGGATTCATTGCCACATTATGTCAATAATGCTATTGCTTATTCATTTTGGAAAGGTACTGGTATTTAGAACATAGTTCTTATTGTGACATGCTATTGATCCAGTTGATTTTTGGATCTGCTTACATCAATTATCTATTGCCTCATTAATATAGTTGACATTTCATTACCTCTTGGTACTGTGACTTAAAGTTTGTCTTTTTATCATCCACATGGTGTGCCCAATTAGTGTGTTCCTGTTGTGGAGGCACCTCCATAGTTGAGATGGTTGTTTCCTGTTGGATCCTTTTTTGTGTTTTTTGGAAATCAAAGATGCAGTCTATGGAATATTTAATGATTAGACCATTTTCCTTATCAGCTATTGCCCCTGTTCATCCTCTCGTTTTTCATATTTCCTCGGTGTGGATTTTGTTGCCAATAATTTTTTTCTTATTTGTTGGCCAATAAGAGTATTTGCTGCCTGCCACCCCTTGGTATAGTGGTCACCATGTTTGTTTACTAATTTTTTTTGTTGTTGGTGTGCTTAGCATATACAACAACAACAAAATCGTGAGTCCCAACTATTTGGGATCGGCTATATGGATCTTTTATCATTATTGAGATTTGTAAGAAATTATATGTTTAATTAAGTTCAAAATACTTAAATCTTTATTTATAGTTTCTATTAAATTTTTTTAGATTTTTCTTTTTCTCTTTTCATGCCATTAATAATAATTTTATCTCTTTTGATTATCGCATCCGGATGTCTCCTAAGTACATTGATATGTTTTGCATATGCTGGTAGTTATTTCTGTGGATAAGCTGCCACAAACAATTAAAATAGACTGCCTTTAGAAATTTTTTGCTGGAATATAGACAGAGAACCAGCTCATCTGTAAACAGTAGTTCCATTGTTTGCCTTCCAGATGCAGTTGCCTATATCCATGATGAGGATCTTGGGGAAGCAAGTAGAAGATAGTCTATTGAACAATTTGTGCCCCCTCAAATTTTTACCAAATTGCGTCTCAAATATCTCTGTTAACTTGTGGCTGTGTAATAAAAGATGCAAGCTTATTTGTTCACATAAAGCCTGGGATTTCATAGTTGGTAAATTGTCATTTGAATTTCATTTGGTGATATAAATATGCAGAATGCTTTAGACTTTTATTTTGTCAGTATAATTTTTATAGACTAGTTTTGGGTTGGTACTTGAAGAAACGGTCTGAAGACCTTCACATTTCCATAATCCAATTGATATTTTCCCCTCTCTTAAAAGAACTTGTGATGCACAGCATACTTACAGATATTGTTTAGAGGTGCAATGTCTATCTGGGCCGTGTCTGATAGTTCCAGTTCATCTTTACAGATCGAACAGAGACTCCACAAAGATCTGCAAAAGCATTATTATTGTTCAAGCAGGACCACCTGTTGCAGAAAAATAGCGACAAAGTGTTTGGTGTGTTTGCAGCTAGTGTCCTCTTTAAGTACTGCAATAGCTTTTTCCTGCTATATAATGGCCATAGTCAATCTAATTTACAGATCCATCTTAATCTTCATAGCTGAGAATCCGACTGCAGCATATTGATCAATTATTGGGGTTTCAGTAGTTGATCGTACTCTTGAAGTTCCAACATGTTCCAATATGTTCGATGTTACATAATTCTGGTGTGGTGTAGTTTCAGCATGTTGATTGTTTTATTACCTCTTGGAATCATTATGATGGTACGACGTAAAGAATCAACTTGTGATTGCTCTGCCCCCCATCCAGGCAATATTTACTCACAGGTGACTGTTGTCCCACCGAAGACTGGACATTTGTTGGTGGGCAACTTTTGTCCGAACACGAAGGGTGGGTCCATAGCCATCAAATGTTGCCGTCTCTCAAGTTCTCATCCTACTTGTGGGGTTCACTGTAACCTATACTGTTGCAGGTCTGACTTGGTATAGCTGAGTCCCACTCCCCAATAGCTTTTAACCCAATGACAAGGTACTCATTCTCTCTCTCTCTCACCTCATTTGGTGTACTCACTGTTGTTTAAGGAACATGGTGAAATTGAAGAATAATGGAAAGTTATATTGAGTGCTGCTACAAACCTTCAAGGGCTTTCAGGTACATGAAAAGCTACATGTATGCAAGAATCCAACGGTAGAGTTTGTTGGCTACAACTCAAGGTTTCTAATGGCCACCCCAGGAGAAGGTACATTCCTTATTCCTTTCTCCTTCGTTGCTCACTTGCTTTCGTTTCCTTAAATGCTTGGGAATAAAGCGGGTGTTCTTATCCTGATGACCTATTTCAGCCTCTTTGAGATGCACAGCATGTGTTTGTTGGAAAGTTCAGCAACTGTTGCCCCTCAGAAAAGGCTTTTTGGCCGTGTAGATGTCATCATCTTTTGACACGATTGTCCAACCCATGAGTGACCCCTTTGGCATTTTAGGAAGCGGCTTGCTCTTCTGTCGCTCGCTTGCCTTAAAAACTGATAAGAGAGCGTGCCGACTCCCATCCCAACAAGCCTTGGAAGCTGAAAGCTGAAGAAGAAGAAGATGGAAACTCCTTCGTCAGAGCTGCTGCCGCCGCAACCTGGTGTCGATCTCTCCCTCACCTTGGCTCAGTCTTCGACCAGCGGCGCTGGCAGTGGCAGTGGCAGTGTCCATGACCGTGACGCAAGGGACGTCAGGCTCTTCCCTTGCCTCTTCTGCAACAAGAAGTTCCTCAAGTCCCAGGCTCTTGGCGGCCACCAGAACGCCCACAAGAAGGAGCGAAGCGTGGGGTGGAGCTCCCACCTCTACCTCCCACCCCCCGCCACCGTCGCCGTCCCTCCTCACCACCTTAACCCCTATTCCTTCCCCATCGCCTCCCACTCGTGCAAGCCTGCTGCTGCCTGCACCAGCCACGGCCTGTCTGACGGCTATGGTGCCCCCCGCTTGATGGCCGACCGCGGTGGCCTCGCTTTCCCACCGCCGCCGATGAGCTGCTCCGCCTGGTGCAACGAGACCATCGACCTCCTGAATTGGCAGCGGGCTTCCCACCCCCACCGGCCATCATCACCACACCTCCCTTCTCCTCCTCCTCCTACTCCTCCCGTTTCATCCCATGGTGACGACAAGGCCATGCTCGATCTCTCCCTGAAGCTCTAATCCCTAAGGACAGTGTTTGCTGCAGTACGAAGTCAGTAGCCGATTACTACTTGTTTTCTGCTCCGTGTCGTCTTCCGTAAGTGGCTCTGCTGCAGCCATGGAAAGAAAGACTGTGCATGATACGTCCATAAGCTTCTTCTGTGCATGGTGGGTGGTGGGACGTCGACACAACGTGGAGGTCACATCATGTTCCCTTCCACTCAAGTTATTCATCACCTTTGTTTGAAAAGTTAAGCCCATCAATCAACCTGCGTTTGGGCCATCCTGCGTCTTTTCAAGAGCATGATGGAGCCGAGGACATGATTGGGATCCCCTCTCTTTCTCTCTCTCTCTCCCTCCCTCGATGGACGTGCAGATTGGGCGCCCTGCCATGGCCGTGTGGTGTGGGATTAGCACATTACCGAGTGTTTTGATGTAACACCGAGTGATTGATTTGAGGTCTCAAACAGTGTGATGCATCATGCCTAACACGGTTGATTGCCATTCCAAAGTCGAGGAATCTTCTGCTGTTGTTGCTAAACCCTGTGCTTGTGATTTGATCGCGTTGTGTTGCGTCGTCGGAGTAGCCCAAGTTTAGGTATCTAATCTACATTTAGCAAGTCCCTAGATATACCTCGGTAGCATGTATTTAACGATGTTGAAACTTATATTTATATTGGTCAAATATGAGAAATCATTTACTCCATAAGAATGATACAACATATATTTTAGATATTCCAAATTTTAGTGCTTTTCATATTCAGTGAAAACATATGCAGTTCCCCAACTTCAAGAGCATACATGTGTTCCTTCTCTCTTGGTTCCCATGCAGTCTCGCCGTTGACTCATGCGGTCCACACATGTCCATCTTGGTCGACACAGCGACCTATGGACCGCGAGTTACTGCGTTGGCTGTGGAATTGGAAGTGGCCATCATCGACAACTCCTAACAGGATAGAAGCACAACCCGATGTTGTTGTTGGTGTAAAGGTTGGATCTTTCCGCACCACCGAAGGCCGTGGAATTGCAAGTGGCTCCATCCTATAACCCCCCCTGAGAGAGAGAGAGAGAGAGAGAGAGAGAGAGGTTGTGCTAGCTACAGGAGATGGAGGAACATGAGTGCGTTTCGGATATGCTGTGCCGGTGAAGGTGGAGGACATGTTACAGAATAGTGGACAGTCTCGAGTGGGGGAGGAGAGGAGCGCAGAAGAAAAGAAAGCTGCAGACGTGGTGGGCTTTGGATTTGGATAATATCTAAAGCACTGGCGATAGATTCTCATGTCGTACGTACCCCATCTTCGTTACCACCGCGCAACTCCACAATCTCTCACAATCCCACCCACCCTCCTTTTCCTGACTCACCAAATTAAACTTATTTAATTGTTTACTTACTTTCAATGATGCAAAGTACACCTCTATTTGTTCTATTTAAATCAGTTTCATTCATCTCAGTTCCTCATCATAGCTAGTCGAGTTAAGAACATTAATCTCGTGTCACCTCTGTTTAAAATCGACTTGTTCTCACAACTTCCTTTTCAGTGGCACAGACAGCCACAGGAAAAAAGATAAATGGTTTGAGAGATGGAAAGAGAGGTTAGAACACTTGTTTTATATGATATAGGTGTCCAATATGGGTGAATAGTTCTCGTGCAACAGATGTGGGTGGGATGAAGTGAATTGGACACCTATGTATGCATCAACAAACAATTGGGCATCTATTACTCTGCACAAACAAGACATAGAAGAAGCTATCAATGGGTCACCTAACATAGAAGAAGTGCAATCGGTCACATAAGAGTACAATGTCTTATCAACCAAAACCTCACCGTATCTGAAGAACACATCGAGAACTGCTGTGATGAACCTCTTCCACAGTACCTCACCCTCCCTGTCTCAGCTTCTGCTCCTGATGCAATTGTCTGTCGGCAAGCTTTTCCCACATCTTTATCCTCAAACCATTGTCCTCTTACCAAACATTAGCATCCACGTTGAATTAGTGGTCTTTAATCGTTGGACCCCCGCGCCCCCCCAACCCTTGCTTTCAGCATCGACTCTTCTTCGAACACACACTTCTTTTCTCTCAGCAGTGACACAGACTCTTCTGCTTTGGTCCTTGTGCATGATGTTGTGTCGATTGTCATGTCTCATCATGTTGATGGTTCCTTTTCTTTCGTGACAGATGCAGATGAGAGGAATATTTGGTACATTACGGTGTTCGTGTGGTTAATCCTGGTTTTGCCAGTGTTAATGGTGGATTCTGAGTGGAAGGACCTTCAAATCTTGTCCTATGATTAGATTAGCTTTATGATACTATTAAGTTTGATTAATCATGAAATAGACTGCCTCGTTTAGCATATATAATTAGTTCATCTGACAGTTCTTGGATCCACCAATCAAGTGATGAGATCAATGAGAGCAGACTTGAAACAGTAAGAAATCTACATAGATAGATAGAGAGAGAGGAAGTTTGAAGTTTGGGTATAGGGGTCTGTAGATTTAGGACATGGATGATCATAATTCCAAGATTTTGTAGGAACATGAGACAAATATTTCTAAGTTGTCTTTGGAAGTCCAACAATTCTAGAACACCACCCTCCTCTGATGGAGCTCAAGGCACTGAAACTCCCATACAAGTCCAACAAGGAACACCATTGTTGTCAGTGTTTTAGCTTACTTCAGGTATACAGCGAAGACCTGAAAGGATACATTTGGAGCCATTGCCTCATCAAACAAAGGTCTACCATTGATGCTCTTCTCTTTGAGCTCTTGATCCAATCCTCAATGCCAACCACCATCTTACAGTCAAAGCATTATTAATAGAGCATGTATCCGGAAAAAAAGCAACAGCAAAGGAGAAACATAGCAAGAGAGACAACCATACTGGAAGAAGGAAGTGGTTCTCAGAAATAATCTGATGATGTTTAGGCTTAAATACATATATGTTTTAGGGTAAATTAGTGCAAATAAAATCCATGTTTGATGATGACATGGGTTCATATCAACTTTTCTTTTTCTTTTTCTTATGCTTAATACTAATTCCTTACTACATCTAAGCAGCATTCTGAAATCTGAATCAATGAAAAGATTAGGAAACTCCCAAGCAAACATCAATACAACTACTTTCCCTTTCCTTTTTCTTCTTCATCATTGGAATGACAAGTACAGTTATAAGATTTCAATCCTATGTGATATCCGATTCACATCCATAATCGTTTTTAATCGAACATGGTTATGAATTTCTAAAGATGCAAATACTATAGTCATCTGAATTAAGTATAGTAAAAAAATTCGAAGAAAATAAGTGACACAGCTCTCACCAGAACTAATTAATGTAGTAGGTGGTAAGGAAACGATCTTAATATGATACTTCATTTCAAAGTCTTGGATTGAAATAGTGTGATTTTGATATATATATATATATATATATATATATATATATATATATATATATAACTTCTCCATATTGTCACTTGCAATAGTATTCTTCCAATAAACTTAACTTAACCACTACTAATTGTGTAGATGCTTGATTTAAAAATAATAATAATATTTTAAATATCTAAAAATATTTCTTATCATTTTATTTGATTATTGGACTCCCCAATTCATAAACTTAAATTTAGAGTAACGTATATGAAAAAAAATACTATTTCAAAAGATATACAATATTTTCTAAAGTTCATTAATATCAATTGAAAATTTAACATTATTATAGTGTGCAGCAATTATCAGGAAAATTTTTAGTTTTTAAAAATTCTTGTAGATCATATTATTGCTAAAAAATTTTGTAATATACTCCTTTTCAAAAAGATATTTTTTTCCCGTGCTTCTATCAGGAAAATTTTTTCCCCTACCCACCTCCACCCACACCCTCGATCACCCTCTTATTAGCCACCTTCATGCATGGGCCTTTGGTTGCCTTTCATCCTTTACCTATCACCCTCATCCACTCTTGGCTATGTCCACCTCCACCCTATTAGCTCCCTCGACCAAGATCAATGATACGAAAGATGAAAATGACAAATGGGGGAGAGGGGTGCACATTCTCAGATCTATAATTCTCTCTGTTGAGATGACAAAGAGGACAATAGAGATGGCGAGACGAGGATAACGATTGATGGGGGTGGGATCAGTTGTGTGAAGCTTATCAACGATAGAAAAGAGTTAGTGAAGTTCAGGGTAAAATCACTTTTTTAAAAAGAAAATATATTTTGTACGAATTTTTTTAAAATTAAAGACTTTTGTAAAAATTAAGAATTTTTTCCAAAATTTTACATATATATATTTGTGTAGTAATTATTAAGAAAATTTTAGTTTTTAAAAATTCTTATAAAGCATCTTATTAATAAAAAATTTTGTAATAACACTTCTTTCCTAAAAGATAATTTTTCCCTTGTGCCTTCACCCTTGGTTGCCTAAGCCTCTGCTCCTACCCACCTCCACCCCCACGCTTGAGTGCCCTCGTGCATAGGTTATTGGCCTTTGGTTGCCTTTGCACTCGAGATCCTTACCCTTTGCCTATCACTCTCATCCACTCTTGGTCATGTCTGTCTTCACCCTATTATCCTTATATTTCATTGACAATTGTCTTCACCTTGCATTGTCGTCCTCACCTCTCTTCCTCTCTTCCTCTAGCCTTATCGTCATCCTCACTTATAGCCCCCTCAATCAAAGTCGACGACAAGGAAGATAGAGATGATTAGTGGAGAAGGGGGGTGCACATCCTCGCCCTGATCTACAATCCCCGCTGTTAAGGTGACTAATAGGACAATAGATATGGCGATATGAGGATAGCGACTGATGGAGGTGGGATCAGTGGTGCGAAGCCTATCAATGATAGAGAATAGTGGAGTGAAGTTTAGGGTAAAATAATATTTTTAAAAAGAAAATATGTTTTGTATTAATTTTTAGAAAATTAAAGGCTTTTGCAAAATTTAAGAATTTTTTCTTCAAAAATGTACCTATATATATATATATATATATATATATATATATATATATATATATATATATATATATATATATTCCTCCCCCTTAAAAGACATATAGAAGACTTTGACTGAAGCACTGAGTTAGGGGTAAACCAGAAGACTTCGACCGAAACAATGAGACCAATCACGTGGCGGGGTAATCCAGGGAGACTTTGACTCGTCGTGCTAAATTCGGTTGACCTTTGCTTGCAGCTGCATGTGGCGGCGGCGCAGCTATGGTCTTCGTCCCCCACTCTCAAGCACGTGTTACTTGTGTTTATTTTACCAAGAAGTCAATTTCCAAATTAATTTGAGCTCTTGTCTCTAATTTTCTTTTCGAAAAGAACCTAACTTCAGAGGATGAAGTTATTTAAGGGAATGTTTCGTTAGCCAATTTTGTATTATTAAACAATTTTGAGTTCTTTGACGAAGTTGTTGCCTTATGTATTAGAATCACTTTATAATATTATTTATTATAAATCATTCATGAGTGATCAACCAATTAGAGATGAGATGGATAATAAAGATGAAACAATAAAATATTTATATGCTAGTTGAAATTATAATTATGCAATAGATAAATATTAAAATATCAAGATGTTGTTTGATAGAATAATTGGTCTATTAACTTGATATACTCTTTAAGGATCAATATAATATTAGAATAAAACTCTAATACGATGTATGTAAGATATAGTTCAATGATATCATACCTCTATATTAGGTTAACTTTTGATATTATTTGTCAAGATTAATTCTAACGGGATAATTGATCTATTAACTTCATTGACTTATTAATTGATCCATAAAGTTATTTCGATTGTATGAAAATTAGTGATCACGTAGAATCTCTCTCATTGTATCTAATTTAAACTATTTAATATTACCTGTTTTATCGATAATAAAATTAATTTTGTTTCCACGCTCTTTTTCTATTATCTCTCAATCTTTTCTTAAACGGATTTGATCGTGGAAGAATAAAATAATAAGATATTCTCGATGATACCTCTCTACAATGTGCCGACCTCTATTTCAACACACATTATTCAATCGAAGCCCATATTACCAAAACTAGACGACATCGCCCGTCGGTCGGCGACACCGACGTCAAACCCACACCAATCGAATCCTAAGATGCATGAATGGATGCTAAGCTTAGTCGGATGTCATGTTTCATATTGATGAAATGGAAAATAAAATATGATCACATATCTATAATTATATATATATATATATATATATATATCATAATTAAAATAAGAGGGAAGTAAATAAAGAAAAAAAATTAAAGTACATAGGAAGACATAGTATTT